AGCCTATAGTGCCAGCAGTGGGGGGATCCCAGAAGAGGAGGTTCAGGGCTGATCTGTGAAATACCTGCACAGAACAAGTATACCATGCTTGTTATTTTAGGGGAAAAAAAGCCTTTAGAACCACTTTATGTTAAGTCTTAGAACCCTGCTTGAGAAACCCTGATCTAACCCAATGGATCCTATGGCAGGCAAGGTTTCTTCCAGAAGTTGCTAGATGTTCCTTGAGCAATGAGCAATTTCTGCCTCTCAGATATATTCCCACTGACACAACTGTTCTTTTTTAGCTATCTGTAAGGGTGAATTCTTCCGAATGACCACAAGTGTAAGGAGCAGGGGTGGACTGACAACTCATGGGGCCCCCGGGGCAATAGGGGATCATGGGGCCCCTGTGTCCTTGCCCAAACTCAAAAAAGCCTATGAAAAAGGTATCAGGGACACCTCATGGGGCCCCCTACTGACCCCGGGCCCTCAGGCAGTGCCAGAGTTTCCAAATGGTCAGTCCGCCCCTGGTAAGGAGCATTCTTCACACTGACCATCATACGAAATGTATCATGGGTTGTACATATAGTAATTTTTAGCAGAGATTCCGAGACCAGAAAGTTATTTCAAGGGTTCCTCTGTGCTCAAAAGGTTGAGAAAGGCTGGGTTAGATGCTGGGTGGATTGATGGGTTTAGTTCCATTCCCTTTAGGTCTGTTATAGACTTAAGGTGAAAATGATTAATGTGTACAAACTGATTTTTTATTTTATAGTTTTATTACTTAAGTATGGTTAAAGCAGTTTCAATATTACTATTCCAATGCTTGTGTAAGATGGTCCCACACTCCAAAATCAAGTTAGGAAGAAGAAGCTGTAGAATGGTTGTTTCTCGTCATACAGTATACAACACAAAACACCAAGCCTAAAAATGACCTCTTGTTAAAATTCTCATTTTACAAACATAATCATGGTACATGGCTGCATTTTTATTATTTTTTTTATCTAAGCTTACTCATATGACTTAAAACCTAGGCAGCCTAGATCACAAGATCAAAAACCAAAGAAACATGTAAAAATTACACAAAACATCCAGTGGTCTTCTGTACTGTGTAACAACAATGGATAAACACACTAAGAGTCTGTCGTATAGCAGCAATTACTGCAATAGTAGTTTAAAGATGAATGGTAGAGGAGTGGATGAAGGGATGGATGGATTTTGGATGAATGAAGGGTGGATGGAAGAATGGAACATGGTTCACCTCTGCAGCTCCCATGAGATCTGGGCAGGATCACCTCATAAAGCAGGAAATAGCAAAAAGCAGGGAGCTGAGGTTAACACCAAGCGAAAAACACCTTTATTAAAAGCAGCACACTTACATATCAGATCCGATCTGCTGAAGGTACACAGAGGCAATAAGTGGCCACCAAACATGCAGCAGCAGCGGCTCCAATGGGCCAGCAGATGGTATGGATAAAAAGAGCTGGTGGCGTAAAAGCATAACGAGTTTCATGGGTCTCAGCCCTGTGTTTCAACTACATTTGAAACACGTGAAACGCGTTATGCTTGCCCCCTGACATCACCTAAGGATTCTGACATCCTCACAGTGCAGTGGGAGATGCCACCAGCTCTTTTTATCCACACGATCTGCTGTCCCATTGGAGCCGCTGCTGCTGCATGTTTGGTGGCCACTTATTGCCTTTGTGTACCTTCAGATCAGATCTGGTATTTCAACCTGCTGTATCATTATCCACTAGTGGATTGGTGAATTCTGGTATGTAAATGTGCTGCTTTTTCGCTTGGTATTAACCTCAGCACCCTGCTTTTTGCAATTTCCTAGATCACAAGATCTCTGGCTACAAAATGCATTGTAGTCATTATAAACTTACAGAGTCTATTATTTTATTGTTTGATAATAATGCTTAGCACTAATAAGCAGGTCACAGAACCTTCATAAAGAATGGCTGTTCCCACATGCATACTTATATAATTACAAACTGTACATAGAGTAAAAACAAGTTTCCGATTACATTATTACACAAAATGAGCTTTTAGTTCTGACTCTACTAATCTTCTGAAATGTAATCTTTTATAGGTTAACACAATTGAATAGATGTTCTTTTAAACATTTGATTAAATATAACATTTTGTGAAATGACCATAATGGCTCTGTACAAAATACGAACCCATAAGTCTAGTTACAGCTGCAAAGGGTGGAGAATTTTCATGAAGTGGTGAGGCAACAAAGACAAGAATAAAGGCTTATCCTGACAATGCAATCCCAGAAGAGGGACATAAATGTTAAGTGTGGCTCCTGTAAAACTGATGTTAGGGGAAAAATAGTTTTTTTAATACATCTTGAAAGGTTAGCTGCACCAGGCCTTGGTTTTGTACAAAAGCTCTATTTATTCACCAACCTAAGTATTCAATATATCCAAGCTTTCTTTTCTACTTTTCATTTTATTCATATCAGGAGATCATTACAGCTTTTTAAAAAACCTCTGTTTTGAGACTGTCATTGAACTGGCAGCATCCCTGATTGGAACATTCTAAAAGAAGAACAGGGGAGGGGTTTAGAGGAGCACAGGGTAACAAAAGTCACATATTCCCTTGATGCCAACTTCAGTGGTGAAGTATGTGAGCTGTGACCTGTATTGTTATGCCACCGTATTAAAAGCAAACAGCTAAATACAAAGTTGAACTCTTTTTAGCAAAAAAAAAAAAATTCATCAATACAATAAAGCCAGTTTTATAATCCAAGCTATATTCGGTCCATGACCACTGCAGTCAAAGCAAAAGGGCCTGGTCAAGCTGTGATTAGATCATAAAGGAAAAGCTGCTACTGTTAAGGTCTTCGCTTTGTTTTCTCCTCCAACCAACAAATTAAATTACATTGGTTTACAGAGCTGCCACCTCTCCCAGTTTAAATGCTGCTGTGCAGGATGGTACAAAAACAGATTAAGACACTATTTAAAATGGGTTTACATTTTCTATTTTGTTTGCTGAACCTCAGTTTCTGCAGAAATGCCACCACTGTTTCATCCGCTGAGAGGAAGGGACACCAAGCCTTTTCTATGTCACCACAATGCAGGGACTTAATTTCCTTGACTTTCCTCATACATTTCCTTCCTCATAATCTGCCATTTCTTACCATTTAACTCTTCCATTGCTAGAGCTATTTTTGCAATTTATTAACACATGCTAAAATGAACATTTTAGGTCTGATGATTAGGTAGACCCCCAAACATTATATATTCTGTGGAAGAAGAGACCCAGGAGAAAAAATTGTGGAAGTTGCATTTTGTATATGATACACAATATTGATGCAACTGTTTATCAAGGGTATATTTTCAGTAAAAAAATTACACTAAATTTAATTTTAGGGCACATAAACACAATATATTAATCATTGTTTTGTAAAATGTAGAAGGTAAAGTTGCATTCCTTTTTGGTGCTTTACAGCGCGAATAACTTGGAATTTTAAAGAATATGTCAACCCAAGATGTCATGTCCTTGATATGTGTCTGCTGTATCATGTACTTGTATGAAAATGTATCCTGTGCTCTTTGTATTGCTTCCTTTGTGTGGAATCCCTTGTGTTCCTGCCAGTCCCTCTGCTTTCCTATTAAAAAATGACCACGACAGGTATGAAAACACAGAGCAGTCAGTTCTCTAGCTGTGCTGAGAACTCAGCTTGCTCTTATCCAATCATCAGACTTGCCCTAACATGCTTCCTCTCTGCACAGCCATTCACTGGGAAGATCAGTGTGCTCCTGTTTCTCCTCCCCTAGCTCTCAGAGTTCCCTATGCAGCTGAGAACAGAGGGAATGTGATCACTTATAAAAAAAAGGTAAAAAAGGTGCTTATAATGCTTTTTATATCTCTACACAAATGTTTTGTCTTTCATTTCTATTTTACCCTGAATGGGTGTTTTACAGTGTAACGGTTCACATATACATTAAAGGATGTCAAATTTCTAATCGGAGGACAGTTTGTACAAGACCCGCATATCATAAACAGTTACTGTGTTGTTGTTTTTTTTTCCTTTTATAGTGACAATGGAGACAAAGTGCAAAGTTTTAAAGTCCACAGAATGCACAGAATCCAATATAAAAATAAATTAAATTAGACTGTAGGTGTATGACACTTAGGGCAAGCTGATCCAGGAGTTGTAGCAGACCCTATAGCATAAATGAGAAAGAGATGAAAAGTGCCTCTAACTGCAGTATCCAAAGAAAATGTATTAAACCCAATGTCGGGCCACTCACATTTTAAAAGAATGTAACAGGCATATCTGTATATGGGAAAGAGGATGAGTCCATCCAGACACTGTGTAGCGCTGATTGTGCCTCTGGAATGGGTGGAGAGAGCCGGCCAATCACTCCCTTGCTGTAGATGGAGCGCACCATGGATCATGGCATAGGCGTGATGACGTTCCCAGGTTGGTCTCTGCAGGCTTAGACAGAGGAACCAATCCTGCAGCCGCCATGTAGTTGCTGGCTGCAGTGCTTCAAATTTCCCACCCACACAATCTGCCAGTAATTTTAAGTGCCACCTTCCCTTGATTAAAAACAAGCTGAGAATTTTTTATGTGTGGGTACATGTACATGCAAATACGTGCAAGTGATATAAAGCCCAACCTTGTGTCTCTCATCCTAGGAATATCTGATGTTCATACATCAGTACCATGTGCAATTACCCTTAGTTTTAGGATCTCCAGTTTACAAAGTACTTTTGATAAGGCTGCAACAGACACCGCACAAATTGTATGTTATTGTCAGATAAATAAACAAGTTAAAAAAAAACCTCTACATCGAACAAAAATTTCAAGTATTCCAATTTCATATTAAAGAACATAATTAAGAAGTGAAAACAAAGACAAATGTGCCCTACTGATGAAAATATGGATTACAGTTTAGACAGATAGTACAGCACTCAACTATTGAGTGGCCTAATTTTAAGTTTGGCTTTCTGTTCTGTAATACTATTTCAATTACACAAGTAAGCGTTCAGTCAGTAATTACCTGGTAAACAGTGGCGCGCAAAGTATCTGCAGCTTCTATTTCACCATTATTTTCATAGACCGATTTGTCTAATACGGTTAAAGTTCCCATATAGCGTGACTTAGCGGAATTTGGTGTTCTGTGCTTGGCTGACTTTTTGTTTTGTTGGGCAGATATAGATCTGTTGTACAAAAGAAATAGAGTTTACGGTTTACCAACAATTGTTGAAAACGAATTCCAACCAAATAGATGAATACAATTATATACAAACATTTTTATCTGGCAAAGTATTTTCAACTCTGTTCAGCTATTTGAATGATTCATACCACCATGTTGTGACATAAAGTTTACTTCTATTTTCTTTATTAGCCAAAAGTGGGACTTGGCTCCAGGAGTTTGGCTTAAGCCTAAAATTCATAGAAAACGAGTCCTTAGCATTAAAGGGATAACTTGACCACATGAGTGCAGAGAAGATGGTTTTCTACAATACAAAGCTAGCACCACCATAATGGCTAACACTTTTCCTATTCCAATATTTTTTTTTTAACAGAAAATCCTTTTCCAATTTTTAAGTAATACTCAGAAAGACAAAGAGGCAAGTTGATGGCAGGAGTTCCATGCATACATTATTACCTACAATTTTACTGACTATAAAGGTAAATTTGTACCTGGTCCACTGTAGCATGTTAAATTAAAGTATGTTAACACATGCTGTGTTAAGGAAGCCCATTCATCTGAATGGGCTTCCTAATGTACCACAATGAATCAAAAATCATGCATGCAGAATTTCTGGCAGTGGACCACCACAATGAATGGTGCTACATTACACTAATATGCAACTATACAGCACTATGGTGCAGGGTACAAAATCTAAATGGACAGAAACAAAGAAAATAAGGCAATAAAAAACAGGATTTGTGTACTGTATTTTTGTAAAACTTGCTTCTTGGAGTACAGAACAGGACACAGGCATTGTCTTAGACAACTTGGTTATATTGATCTACCTTCAGGTAGCTAATAGCCGGCAAAGCAGAACTGTTAAGACAACCAAATAACCCCTCCTACTCTCAGCAATTCTCAGTTTGTTTGCAAGCAATTAGAAGAAAATGTCAGAACAGAGGGCAGAGAGACCTAAATCCTATACTGTACTCCAGGAAAGGATGTTACAGGTAGGTCAAATATCCTGTTTTGTTAATTGTACTGTACCGGACACAGGCATAGTCTTAGATGCCTGGAACATCCAAAAGTAATATAAATGAGGAAAGGGAACAAATAAATAAATGTCAATAGGCCCGCTTACCTTACCTTACCTTATCAAGAATCCTACCTCAGACACCATACTGGAGCACTGTACGTCTGAAACTGGCATCAGCAGAGGCCTGAACATCTCCCTGGTGAAACTGTGTACATGGAAAACCACCTTGTGTGTAAGGTCTGTCAAGGGAATGTCTCCATTAGGTTCAAATGGAGGCCCCTGGATGGCTGACAGGACCAGGTTGGAATACTGTGGTGTCACTGGAGAGTGCCTGCAGAAGTTAAATGAGCCATCCACTGCACATAGGCCTTCACAAGGGAGTGAGAGGCCAGCGGTCACTGAAGAGGATAGTGAAGGCTGAGAGCTGCCCTTCCTCCTGTTGCACCAAAGTACATTTTCCAGGTACAATGGTGCCTTGCGTGAAGTGGACTACTTTGTTTTGAGAAACATAAGAATGACTGAATCTGATAAATGTCGAACCCTCAGGTTTATCAGGACTTCAACAACCAGGCAGTCAAAGCCATTGACCAAAAAGCAGGATGGAGGACCTTGCCGGTCTCTAAGCAGCCAAGGAACATCCGCCAGAAGCCTGAGTACATATAAGTACAACATTCTTCTGGCCCAATTTGGTGCCATGAGGATCATCGGAATGTCTTCCACCTCTATTCTTCAGAGCATGAAGAATAGGCCACAGTTTTCTTTTAGGGGAAATTAAGTGCTCCCATCTTGCAAAGGCATAGCACTGAGGGATCCTTAAGGAACTGGATCACACCAGTGTGGCTCGCCACTGCCCTGGATCTGTATAACATCCTGCAACTAACCCATGCATTTCTCTGCATACCAAGCAAAACACCTCACGCAGTGTCCATGCACCCAAGGGAATACAACAGGCTGGATCCACGTCTTCTGTCTAGTAAAGTCCAGGTATGGTCCTTGAGGCTTGCAGAGGGACACCGATCTGTAAGCTGTGTATGTAGCCATAGTCACTGTAGTGTGTAGTCACTTGAAGAATCCATGCAAGAAAAATCCACAATGAAATAGTGGGACTCTCTTCACAGTAGAAGAGAGAAATCCATCACCAAAAGGCACTAGCGAAAAACAGAGGATTGCTGGGTGTGGCAGGAGTTATATGGGGATACTAACAGCTCTGCCTGAAGGCAGCAGCAAATAACTCTGTAAGACTTTGTCTGGTGTTCTGTACTGTACAATTAAAGTGGTTATAAAGGCAATTCTCTGCAATAACTAAAAAAAAACCCCAAACCTTTCAATAGCTGCTCCTCCCAGCCCCCCTTAAATATTTACCTGTGCAAAACCATTACACAGAGCAGGTAAGTTGAACGTATAACATGTTTCTCATTTTAAGAAAGAAAATAAGCTTTACAACTGCTTTAAGAAAAAAGTATTAGGCTCCATGTACACGAGCCTACTTTAACCGCCGGCTGTGGTAAACCACAAATCGTGGCAAAATGCGGTACTGCAAATTTTCCTGCATTTTGTGCTTTCCCACAGCCATTATTATTATTATTATTATTCAGGATTTACAGTAAATAGCACTTGTTTGCACAGTACTTTAAAATATAAAGGGAGGCAATGCAAATCAAGAAGGAAGAGGTTTAGAATGGCCTTGCTCATGACAGTTTACAATCTAAAAGGGAGGAGCCAGTGGCACAATGTGCGGATATTAGTTGATGGAAAAAGTAATAGTTCAGTTGTTACATACAGGTGGGATAGACTTCAAAGAAGAATTTTCAGAGCTCACCTAATGGTGGACAAAATAGCAGAGAACTGAACAGACTGGGGTAGGGAGTTCCAGAGGATAAGAGAGACTGGAGAATTCCTGAATGCAAGCATGGGAAGAGGTGACGTGGGAACTAGAAGGCAGGAGAATTCTTAGTAAGAGCAAAGAGAACAGTTTGGATGATATTTTGTGATAAGCTTGATGATGTAGCTGGGGGCAGAGTTGTGGATGGCTTTGTATCTGTTACTATTTTAGCTTGGTAGTGTTGCATGAAAACACAAAAGCCAGTTGACTATCCAAAGCTATTATTAACTTTTGTGGATGCACATAGAATGAAAACACCCCATCGGCTTCTTATATTCACAGTTTATGGCAGTTACATCACTGCAGATATATCCCCAGCTTCACTCACTATTACTGGAATTACAAGGATGTTTTGCTCCAGTTAATGCAGTCTTCATTCATTTTACATAATGCAGTACAAAGAAAAATACTTCCCACCTCTGACTTAGTAGGTCAAAGAACCAAAAACTTAGTGATATTTTGATAAGGAAAATTTTCAAGATTAAAGGCCAGTGGCTGTTTCAATCCATAAATATCCATATGTGTTCAAAATACAGGGAAGCAAATAGTAAGTAGTGGCTTCTATGACTTATGCTTTGCTGGCAATATCTGGTAAAAAGCCAGTAACTTGTTTAATAGTTGAACAAGAAACCATTTTCAGGACATTTTGTATAGTAAAGATGTTTTGCTCTAATCACTGTGACATTGGGCAGCATAAACCAGAAGCAGGAGTATAAAAGTAAACTAGTGATGTTCATAAGAAGGATCCATTAGTAATCTGTTCAGTTAAATGCAGCTGATAAAAATCTTCAGCAGACAAAACAGCAACAGATGAATAATTGATGCTGTGAGTGCACAGAGACTGCTTTCATATATATTTCATTTCATTCACATCTTATAGGAATTGATGTTGACATGTACATTTATTTCACAGTTTGTGAAGTTATTGTAACTGTTTCGGGTACTCAACAGGCAAGGATCAGCTACAGGAATTTAGTTGTGGACCACACTGCTCATGGCTTTTTTTTTTTTTTTTTTTTTTCGGTGTAATGTGCCATCGTGTCAAACATTTATAGTTAACCTCCACTTCTCTCATACTAACGTTCTCGTGTGTCAATCTAAATATCTTTTTCTGTTGATCCTCATCTAACACCACCTCCATATCTCTTTCCCACTTCGTTATAAAAATTAACTTTGTGTCTGTGTCTAATTCTGTGAGTATTCTATAAATTTTTGCAATACCATGTTTCCCATCTCTACGTGTTTCTAACAGCCTTTCAAACATATTCCACTCCTTCTTTAATCTCAAGGGTTTTGGTAATTTCCCAATAAAACATTTTAGTTGGTAATATTTCCACTCATCTATTCTAATAAAAATATCTCCCTTCTTCTCTTTAAGTTCTTTAAATGATCTCAATTTCCCCTCTACCAGTACATCTCTCAGTTGGACATCTTCCCTCTCAAACCATCTCCCTGATATCTCATCCTTTCCTGGGGGGAAGTAATCAGTATTTGCAAGAGGCATTAATATAGAGTTGAATTCCCATTTCATATTTTTGTGTAAATTATCCCATACCCTTACAACATTTAAAGTGTAATTACTTGTGTTTTCATAAATTTTTCTATAATGTGCTGGAATCCATATCATCTTACTCAAACTAATCCCACTCAGTGCATTTTCAATTTTTACCCAACTCTTCCCCTTCTGGTTAAATGTCCAATCATAAATTCTTGCTAAAATTACTGCTTTATAATATCTCTTGACGTCGGGTAGTCCCATTCCCCCTTATTCTTTAGTCCTACTCAGTATTTCATATGATATTCTTGGTTTTTTATTCCTCCAAATATATCTTGTTAACATTTTTTTTATTATCTTAAAAAAAAGACTCTGGGAGTTTAATCGGAACCATTTGGAATCTATACAGTATTTTAGGTATAATTACCATTTTAACTAGGTTTATACGTCCTATCCATGATGGGTTTCCTCCTAATATTTTCAATTCTTCCTTAGTCTCATTTATTAAGGAAATATAGTTTAATCTTTACAGTTGTTTGTAAGAGATAGCGAGTTTTATCCCTAGGTATTTTAAATCTTTTTCTCTCCATATAAAGGGGAATTCTTTTT